AGCGCCTGCTGCGGGGCCCAGCGGCGGAGGCTGGGCGGCTCAGGCCGCCGTGCCCCCCGGTGCCGGCAGGGCCGCGAGGAGACACGGCCCAGAGGCAGGCGTGGCTCAGGCCCCGTGGCTCGTTCCCAGAGAGCAAGGTGCTGAGCAGCTTCTGGGGCTTTGCGGCTGCGGAACCTTCTGTGCCTCAGGTCCCCAGAGCCTTACACAAGCTGACGGACTCTGCCCAGTGGGGCTCTGGTTTCTCCATAACCTTCCCTCGGGGCGGCAGCTTCATCCTGTGGGCTCCTCCCCGTTTCCGAAGCCCAGCGGAGCTCGTGGTTACCAGAGCAAACTACCGGCTGTCCGCGGGTTTCTTAGTTGAGGTGTGTGTACCCCTGGGCAGTGATGGCGCACTGAGTCAGCCCTTCCCCTCTTCGTGTTGGGGTGTGGCACCTGGAGTCCAATGAGTCACACCCGGGTGGTCTAGCTTGAGCACCGCTGTCCTGCGCCGAGCTGCTGACAGACCTGCTCGGGCAGCCGCCGACCCTCTGGCCGCAGCTCCCGCCCTGGTTCTCTTCCCAAGGAGGAGAGTTCCCGTGAGAAAGCCGCCGAGCGAGCGCCCGCCACTGCCCAGTGCTTGCACCAGCCGCAGGTTCTGCGCCTGGGACATCGCCGGACACTGTTCGCGCCAAGGAGCGGCGCCTGTCTGCTGCTCGGGGCAGCCCTCGGCTTCCTTTCTGTTGTGTGGCTTTGGGGTCCGTGTTTGAAGCCGAGGTCGGGGACCCGTCCGACCTCCCCGGGGCAAGGGCTGCGAGCCTGAGCCCTGGCTCCCAAGGGCCTGACATTTCCGCTGTCCGGCGGCTGAAAAGGCTGAGGCCGCCTCCCTTCCCTGCTCTCCTCTCTCCGGGAACGAGCGTTTTGGGTCAAGCGAGGCATCCAGTGAGGGAGAGGGGGACCCCAAGGCGCTCACGGGGAGGCGACCGACCCTCGGCCCGGAGGCGCGCCCGAGCGATGCTTGGGCACGCCCACGGCCTTGACCTCTACGCTGAGCTGAACCCCCCCTGTGGACGGCGTCCACTCGCCTGGCGCCACGGCTACCCTCGGCCAGATGCGGGAGCGCGGCACTGGCCGGCGCCGGGCTTGGCGCGGGGCTGGGCCGGGCTTGAG